GCCCGGGAGCGGCCACTGCACTCCAGTCTGGGTGACAGAGTGAGACTCCAACTCAAAAAAAAAAGACCTCGTCTCTACAATAAACCAAAAAATTAGCCAGGCATGGTGGCTCAAGTCTGTGTAATCTCAGCACTTTGGGAGGCAGAGGCAAGCAGATGGTTTTGAGTCTAGGGTTCAAGACCAGCCTGGGCAACTTGGTGAGACCTCATCTCTATAATAAATCAAAAAATTAGCCGGGCGCGGTGGCGTGTGCCTGTAGTTCCGGCTACTTGGAAGGCTGAGGCGGAAGGATCGCCGGAGCCCAGCAGGTCGAGGTTGCTGTGGCCGTGAGCGTGCCATGGCACTCTAGCCTGGGAGACAGAGTCAGACTCAGACTCAAAAAAAACCCAAAACAAAACAGAAAAGTCAAGAGGTTTGACCATTTGGGTAACTGCCACATTATGTGTGGAAGAAGTGAATGTGAAGGAGTGGGGAGAAGATATGGTGAGAGGAAGGAGCTAGCATGGGAAAGCGTGAAAGAAACACTAGAGGGGCACGCTTTTGAAAGATTGACCAGGCGCGGTGGCTCAAGCCTGCCATCCAGCACCTGGGGAGGTCAAGGTGTGGGGACTGCCTGAGCTTACGGGTTCAAGAACAGCCTGGCCGACTTGGGGAGCTCTCATCTCTATGAGATGTCAAAACATTAGCCGGGTGTGGTGGTGCGTGCCTGTGGTTCCAGCTACTTGGGAGGCTGAGGCGGAAGGATTGTCGGAGCCCAGCAGGTCGAGGCTGCGGTGGCCAGGAACATGTGTCTGCGCTCCAGCTTGGGCGACAGAGGGAGACCCCAACTCAAAAAAAAAAAAAAGGAAGAAGAGCCCGCAGTTTTGGACGTCACATTTCTGCAATGTCTGTAAATGCACTGTCTCATGATCACTCAGATTAATATTCTTTCTGATTGTTTTGTTTGAGATGAGGTCTCCCTCTGTTGCCCAGGTTGGAAATACAGTGGCATGATCACGGCTCACTGCAGCCTCGACCTCCTGGGCTCAGGCGATCCCTCCACCTCAGCCTCCCTAGTAGTTGGAACCACAGGCACGCGCCACCACGCCCAGCTAATTTCTTGGTTTACTACAGAGACGAGGTCTTGCCAAGTTGCGCAGGCTGGTCTTGAACCCCTGGGCTCAGGCAGTTCTCTCGCCTCGGCCTCCCAAAGCGCGGGGATGACAGGTGTGAGCCACCACTGTGTCCGGCCCCTGATTAACGTTCCCCATATAATGCTGCCTTGCTGAAGTGCAGAGTTCCAGGCCATGAACAGCAGGACTGCCAGCTGGGAGCAGGCCCTCACTGGGGGAGCCTTCCTGGGCTCCAGGGCCGGTCGTGGGGTCCCTGGGCGGCAGCCCCTGCCACACGGGCCGCCCGGCCTCTTTCACAGCCTGTCTCCACCACACTCTGTGCTCCCTGAATCCCAGGGCCAGGGCCTGGCCCGAGGAGGGGACAGCTGAGGATGGATGGAAGTGAGATCGGTCCACGGCATCAGCCCTTCCTCCACGCTGCTGAAACCTCCCCATGGAGGCGCTGTGCCCACACGGCCTAGGCCAAGCCCAAGCCCATGGGAACGGGCCCACGCCGCACCCTGGACAAACGTCCCGCGTGGGGGCCACCCACACACTCACCGCCAGGTTGCGCGAGGAAATCTCCGCCCTGTGGCTCCTGACCTCCTCTAGGTCCAGTGTGGCCGTCAGGACTTCCTGGAGGACGTGTCAAAGAGAAACCGTGACTGCCCGGCTCGTCCCCTTCCATGTGTCATTCGACCACGGCCACAAGTGTCGCACCTAGGTGAGTCACACCCGCTTTCGTTTTAACCGTTTTGTTTTGTAGAGACGAGCTCTCACTTGGGTGCCAGGGCTGATCTTGAACTCCTGGACTCAAGCGACCCTCCCCCCGCGGCCTCCCGAAGTGCTGGGGTGCAAGCGTGAACCACCGCGCCCAGCGGAGTCACGGTTTCAAAACCAGGGGCTGAGGACGGTGTGGCTGCTGACCCCGAGCCCGTCCCCCTGTTGCGGCCCCCAGAACCTCTGCGACATCCAGATACCTGCCAGTGACCTGTTCACGACAGCACGAGACAACAGCTCTGCCAGGAAGCAACCCCTGGGGGCTTCTGGGAGAGCGTCTCTCCTATTAAAAAGACACATTTGGGGAGAAAGGCCCCTTTCTGCCTCTGAGCATGTGTTGATGTGTTGATGAGCTGCTGCAGCCATGCTATGACCATGAGGCAACCAGAGGAGGAAGCCAACCCAGAGGGGCAGAGCTGGAGGACACAGTGGGAGCCACACCAAGCAATCCCGCCCGCCCTGCCCTCGCTTCTTGTGACGTGAATGCAACTGGGATGGATGCCCACTTTTGCAATAGTGGCCCTTTTTTCTGGGTTGCTACAAACAAAACAAAACAAAACACAAGTGAGAGCAACAGCTCTCTACACGGATTTTCCCATCAGTCGTCTATTCTTGGTGAAGAGAATGAACGTCCCATGAGATAAAACAAACCACGGGAGAAACTTCCCCAGCGTTAACGGGGAGTGTGTGACTCTCACCAGCTTCTTGGGGAAATGTGTGGCCCCTGAGAGGCCCAAGCCCCGTTTCCGGGGGCATCCCCAGTGCCAGTGAGGGCCACACAGTGGGTTCTCAGCTGTGTTCTTGGTGTTGTGTGCCCCGGAGAGGCACGGCACCTCTAACCAGCCTGCAGGCCGGGCATGGTGACTCACATCTGTCATCCCAGCACTTTGAGAGGCGGAGGCGAG